TAAGTTTATCACGCAGAGAAACCCCGAGCATAGCCCTCTCCATAACTCGCTGAGCAACCTTGAGCGTCCTCATACGGCCAGCAGTGAAGAACCACGTCTCAGATCTATAAGTCATCACTGGCAATACGCACTGGTTGTACAATCTCGTTTTCAGGTTTTGAGGTATACCTGACGAGAAGATATGTCGTAATTTCCCGAATGCTGTCTAGCCGAGTTGAATCCGTCGATTGACCTCTCGGTCGAAGTTGGACTTACCTAGTCGGACTATTGGTCCCAGGTAAACATACTCGTCAATAACTTCAAGCTTAATGCTCCCAACAACTACCGGTATAGGTGACATTAAACATCTTTGTTTTGTCCATGTTCATCTTAAGACCTATCCGTTGGGAGACATTGAGCATAGTGCTTAGGTCCTTCAGCGATTCTGCCACAAGGACTATATCGCCGGCAAATCGAAGGTGAGTGATGTACTCGCCATTGATTTTAATACCGTATTTTTTCCAATCCAGTAGCTTCAAAACGTCTTGCGTGAAGAGTTTCAGGGATTATAACGTCACCCTGTCTTACACCTCTCTGCAGTTGGATAGGTTTTGTACTCTGATTCTGTACTCGGATAACCATCGTAGCCCTATATAAACACTTCAGCACTTCGATATACCGACAGTCAACTTGGCACCGCTGAAGGGACTGCTACATCGCCCAAATTTCGACGGAATCAAATGTTTTCTCATAGTCCACATATTTACGCAAGGCAAAGTGGCAGATTGTACTCCTCGGTCGTCTGTACAATTTACCGAAGGGTGTGAATGTGGTCTATGGTACTAAAGCCTCTTCGGAAACCAGCTCGTCCGGGAGGCTGGAAGTCGTCGAGTCGATTTGTAATGACTCGAAAACAGCACGTAGACGCGGCTCGAAAAGGGAAATCGGTCTGTAGTTGTTGAAGTGAACGTTGTCACCCTTCTTGAAGAACAAGAGCACCGCACATCTACTCCACGCCTCCGGAGTACTCCCATCATGGAGGACGGAATTAAAGAGCCTCTGAAGGACTTCGACTACCAGTTTTCCACCTGCTTTCAGAAGCTTCGCTGTAATTCCATCCTCGCTTGAGGCCTTGCCGTTTTTAAGGTGCTGGAGAGCTATTCTAATCTCACTCAGACTGACGTCCGGAATATTATCGGAATAGTGTCGGATAAGACTCGCTCTTGGATCGTTACACACACTCACAAGTGTCTACGTCTAATTATCGGTAAAAATTATCACTATATAAATGTTATTTACGGCCAGAAGGGACTCGTGGCATCCGATATAAAGTACATAATTTATCTCGTAGATAATGCTTGTAAGATTTACACACTTCAGCGACGGGAAGCAAGGTCAAAGGTTAGAGACATCTGGTACTGAGATCGCGAATCGTCCATGCGTGGTAGTTATAGCATATATTTCCAAAAGTGGACTATAGCGGGTTAATAAATAAAGATAATGAAGTTACTTAGATGTAATAAACAAAAATGGTAATACTTATTTCTATTATTTACCCTAATTTTGCTCTAATTGTCCTTCATCTTAATTTGACATATAATATGTCATATTGCAAATTTTGTTCGAATTTCAATAATATATTAACAAGCGAGCACACCTGATGGTAAGTAGATGCTGTGTGCCATAGACATCTACATCTATCCATGAATAAGAATCAAAATGCAGATTCGTTGTCACCCTCGAGGACTAAGATGGAATGCCTCGTATCCATTCAAAAGGGTATCCGGTTCTCTACACTCATCATACGAAACAGAACAGCTTTTAGCTGCTATTTGACGCTGGTATTCTGTGAGAGCGTGGTCGTTCCCCGGTCGAGCCGACCCATTCGTGCTACAACTACACTACTAATATAGCTACATCATGGCTCCACCACATAAAAATTCATGAATTATTATTCGAATTTCAATAATATATTGTTTAATGCTTAGAGTTTATTAGACCGCAAATAGATCAACATTTTATCATTGTGTAAAATCTAGGTTGATTAAACAAATTGATACAAATGTAGGACTAATTACAAAAGTATAATCTGAGTAATAATAAAAACAATTCATAATTAATATTTTAGTATTTCTGGTCAATAATAGCAAAGAATATCTGCTATTGTTACTTTATTCAAAAAAATTCTAAGCATAAAGTAAATATTCTTATTTTGTCTGAACTCCTAAATAATAAATTATACATGTTATTTAGGCGATTCGTACTAGTAAATAACAATTATAACGTTAAAACACACACAAACGTAGATCGGCACACATACGCCGATAACGAACGTACACGCACACGCACAAGTTTGTATCAAAGTCACAAAGTCAAGTGACGTTGCCAGCAATCTGTGCTTGAAATTGCGAATTTCATAACAACTGACCTCTCGGAAGAGGATTGAGATAATATGGAGAAATAATTAAATTAATGTTTAAAAATGTAACAAACAATGGAATATTTTGCGCTGCTTTTGACATTTACGTTTGAATCTAAATGTTGAGCGAATCAGGACATTTATTGCATCTTTGCATCCAATCCTAAAAATTCGTAAAGGCGACGACAATTTTTTTATTTATAGAATAGGGTGACAAACGAACACAAACTCCACCTGATGGTAAGTGGAAGCTGTGGCCCATAAACATATACATTTATGTTCAATTAAGAATCAAAATGCAGGTGCGTTGTCCCCCCTGAGGACTCTTAGACCTCAGGGGTGACAACGCCTGAATTTTAATGCCTCATTGGAATACCTCATTTCCGGTAAAAAGGGTTTCCAGTTCTCTACACTCATCATACGAAACACGTATTCTGTGAGAGCGTGGCCCTACACCAGTCGAGCCGACCCATTCATGCTGCAACCATAATATAGCTGCAGCGTGGCTCTACCACGTATAATAGAATACGAATATACTACGGAATTTCAACGATTCTGGTACACCTTTCTTGCTTCTTTCACATCAATTAAGAGTACTCTTTAATTAGGCCCATTTTTACATCGCCAATTTGGTCTAGAGATTTCCGCTTAGGGCGTGTACCTTGCCCATTCTGCCACTCATTTCTGCAGCATAAATTTACTCTGTCACTCTTTTCTCATTTCTTCATTCTAAGTGTCCAAACCAACGAAGCATTCATTTCTTAATCCTACAACATTTTGCAAATCACACTTTTCTCTTATCACACAATTTCTTACCATATCATTGAGTCACTCCTAACATATAGTATCTTAGTGACCACATTTCAGCACTATTTTGCATTATTTAAACAGCATTATTTTACTCTTATGTTTCTTTTGCCAAACCCAATTTTCAAAGTAGATTAAATAATTTTAAACACCACATTAGTTGAAATTAGAATAGGAAACTAGAAATTACAATAATATCAATTAATGTTTGGGGGTTTATGAAAACCTGTGTTATACAAGCTTTCGTCAAAACAAATAGCGAAAAGGACAGCAATAATCGGGGCACAACATGACATGTCTTTATTTAATTGCAAAAGTTTTAGTGAAATAGCGTGGTAGCCATTAATAGACGATTCCACGTTCAACGACGCGTCATTAATCAGACTTGAAAAATATTATCATTATTATTGTCATCACAGTTATTGCAAAGAGGCCGAAGGTGTATTATGTGTGAATACTGAGTTGCAAAAATTGTATAATTTTATCAAAGTTATTAGCCTAGATAGTGTTGCAAAATAAATAATTTTATAAATGCTGTGAACTATAGCAATAGGTAAAGTTAGCTTAAATCCTACCAAAAACATAAACGTGAAAAGTGGGCGCCAATTACGGTACTAACGTCTTTCGGGATTGTTGACTCCGCCTATAAATGAGTTGAGATCTAATTTAAACGGGCGCGAAGCGCATAGGAATTACTTAAACGATAAGACCAAAAAGTTTCATTCATGAAATTTAAAATTCTCGTTACTCTAACCTTATTAGGTATGCAATATAACCAGTGTATATGTCACGTTTCTTTTTTCATTTTTACATTGGTCATCCATTCCTGAGCTATGTTTAAACTTTCAAATCTCTAGCTCATCGGGAAGTTGGTTCAAAATAAATTTCTAAATTCGACCCTCACAGTCGTACACGAAAGTGAGTTTTTTTTTATAGGATAGCATGACAAGCGAGCACACAGTCCCTGTGGTCTCAGGGTCACAGGTTCTCTACAATCACCACACGAAACACAGCAGTGTTAAGCTGCTATTTTACGCTGGTATTCTGTGAGAGCGTGGTTCTACGGCGGTCGAGCCGACCCATTCGTGCTACAACTATACTACTAATATAGCTGCAGCATGGCTCTACCACAATCATGATTAATAAAATCATGATAAAAATACGAACGTTTCTTTCAAAAGGTAAAATTTAAAATATTTCACTTCACTACTTAAGGCTATGTACATCGATCAATCCCTGACTCGGGTAGTTCAGGATTTTCTCATAACCCACGCACACAAAGAACAGTTCTAAGCCACCTGGTTTTTTTTTTAAATTTAAGTGGCGGCAAACGTGCATACGGCTCTCACCTGACGGTAATCACCTACGAACGTCCGCAATATCAGGGGAATTGCAGGTGCGTTGTCTGCCTTTTAGAAGGGAGGAAGCTCTTCTTGAAGGTACCGACTCTATTCAAATTGTATTCAAACTTTATTTATTTGTGAATACAGGTAATGACACAGAATAGATTTAAAAGAAAATTATGTTCACTGCATTCAACCCTTAGGTATACAAATATTATAGTTACAATATTATTAAATAAACATTTCCTATTATATTTCCACAGTTAAAAAACGGCAGGGTCGGGAAGGGACGCCCTAGACGAAGGTTTATCGACCAAATCGGCGATACTTGTTATTAAGTAATCATTAAATATAGTCTAGTTCATCCAAAACTTTACTGACGCTTTCTACAGCAACCCAACACCATAACTTAGAACTATAACCTTGAAATCAATTATGCCAGTGCCACTCACCGACATATTTAATGCCCTCGGCCTTGAGTCCGTCGACAGCTCGCTGTAGAATCTGGTCCTTTACGTCCGCAAACTGGTCTGGCGTGATGAGCGGGCAGGGACAGTAGGCGCCCATGCCGCCGGTGTTGGGACCCGTGTCCCCGTCACCCACGCGCTTGTGATCTTGAGCTGGTGGCATCACCGACACCGTTTCTCCATCGGTGAATGCGAGTACCTACAAAGATGGCCAATTATACATGTATTTATAATTTAAAATTTTATATTCTTAACCTTCATTCACATGATTAACAATATTGATTTTTTTTATATATAATAAGGGTGACAAACGACGCAGTCCACCCAATGATAAGTGGATGCTGTGGACCATAGTCACATTTATCCTCAATTAAGAATAATATGTAGCTTTCGTTGTCACCCCTGAGGACTAAGATGGAATGCCTCGTTTCCAGTAAAAAGGGTCTCCGGTTCTCTACACTCACCATACGAAACAGCGGCATTAAGCTGCTATTTTACGCTGGTATTCTGTGAGAGCGTGGTCCTTCCCAAATCGAACAGACCCATTCGTGCTACAACTATAATATAGTTGCACGCTGCTCTTACCACGTACAAAATGTAGATAATGATTAATTAAAAAGACACGACACGTGAAGAAAATTAAGTTTAGTTAACCTGATGGTAGATGATCTAGATAGATCAGGTAAACTTTTAGCCGAAAGGCTCTCAAGTGGCACCATCGTACCGGCAAGCAAAATGTAGGATGGCCCCAATAAATGGAGTAACAACCAGATAACAGATGCAACAAGTCGATGGATGCATGTGGCTCAGAACCTTGCTCTCTGACAACCGTTGGAGTAGAACTATGTTCGGCAATGAACTTGCGATGGGTTATAATGATGATGATGAGATTATACTACAGACGTATCTAATTTACATCCTATTTATACGACAGTCAGTTGTTACCTTGAGATTGTGATTCCTTAGTAATTCAAGAGTCAAAAAATTAAATTAAAAAAAAAAGAGTCAAATCTGACTTCAAAGAACAAAAAAGTATAAAATAATTTGCACATAATAGCTCCTCAAGTTACTTTTTAATAAGAGTAATTTTCCCATATCATTTCCAAGTTTTTCATCAGTGTTATTGACGTTATCCATCCATTTAGAACAACCTATAAAAGCCAACTTCTGAACATAGGTATCCCCTATAGATTGCCTCATAGGGGGGATTTTGCCATAGTTGCCACGCTTGGCAGGCGGGTTGGCAACCGCAGTTTTTTATTATTTTGAGTTGTTATCAGGAAGATGCTGCTGCCATCTCCTGTTTCAGTTTCCCTCTGTCGCCTCTTACGACACCCACGGGACGATATGCGGTAGTGGATGTTCTTTCACCGTCACTGACGTTATACACAGTATTAAAAAAGCTGTCTAGTGTCTATTGGCTTTACAGAGCTATATTTTTACCCACGACGGAACGGAGAAGCTGTAGGCGTTTAGGGTGAGAGATTGTTAAAATTGAATTCATACTCAATCATCGTCATCAGATAAGAAAAAAGCATAGTTTACAAGAAAATGCTATTACCAGGATTAAGAAAGGAATGCTTCGGTGGTTATGACACGTAACAAGAATGAATGAGGAAAGAGTGACAAAGCAAATTTATGCTGCAGAAGCGAGTAGAGTGTCGGCAAGGGACACCCTAACCAAAGTTTATCGACCACATTAATGATTAATTGATATATACCATCGGTTAAGGGTATTCTTGGTTGGCCAAATCCCTAAGCCGATGAGCATGTATATATATTTTTTATAGGATAGGGTGACAAACAAGCACAGTCCACCTGATGGTAAGTGGTTGCTGTGACCCATAGACATCTACATGTGTCCCCGTTTGCGAATCAAAATGCAGATGCGTTGTCCCCCGTGAGGACTAAGATGGAACGCCTCTTATACAGTAAAAAGGGTCTCCGGTTCTCTACACTCACTCTACGAAACACAGCCAGTGCTGCTATTTTACGCTGGTATTCTGTGAGAGCGTGGTCCTTGCCCGGTCGAGCCGACGCATTCGTGCTATAACTATACTACTAATATAGCTACAGCATGGCTCTACCACGTATATGGATGCGAGAGAGTTTTTTCGGGATTATGCCAAACGGAAGACCGTAGTCTCATCCCTCTGGGTTACAGAGGTGATGTTTATCTTGAATTCATCCACACATTATTATAAAAATAAAAGAAGAAGAGGTTGTGTGGATAAACTTTTTTTTAAAGAAGGGGTTAGGGGCTAACGAGCTTGCGTCTCATATTATGTATATATGGTAAGTAACCGCCCATGAGTAACTGCAGCACTAGGAAAATTGCAAGTGCGTTGCGGGCATTTTAAATAGGAAGAAGGTTCTTTCTTGAAAGTCCCTTAGTCGTATCGATCCAGAAGCCAGAAGACACGCCGTTAGTAGACGATTCCACAAAGAGGTCGTGTGAGGAAGAAAACTCCTAGTAAATCGTACAGTAGTGGACCGCCCAGCATCCACATAATGAGGATGGTATCGTGAGTTTGTCGCAATGTGCGATGATGGTTTAGCTGTGGTAAGGAAAAGGGGAGATCTCCCGCCGAGCAAGGTGTTCCGCCCGCGGAGCGGCCACTTAGGCCACTTACTATAGCGCGGTAACTTTGGAACTTTGATAGCGCGATTCAGGCTTCGGTGCGTTTCACTTGTGGCGCAACGACAGCGTAATGGAATTTGGCAACTAGAATCAATCCGACCTATTTCTCTGAAAACTTTTCGTGGTAAATCCGATAGAAAATGCAGTCCCAGTGATACGAGCCGATCGAGTCGATACCATTGTAGCATAGTTAAAATGAACATGTTGACTCCTGGGCCAATAGATATGTAAAGACTGGCTGTTCTTCTCATATGAAGAATTATTCTAACGACACAAGTCACTAGCACAAATTGATTTAAATAAATCTCCAGACACGTGAAAGGTTGTCGCTACGATAAAATTCAACGCCAATAACCTAAAGTCCATGTTCCAAGTTTTAAAAATAGCTCTTGAAGTAAACATATTTACCGTCTACGGCTCGGGTCTGTCTGCACTCCCGTGTTCTTGGCTAAAATTAGAGTCTCTTTGGTTAAAGGATATCATTGTGTATATTTCTCAAATAAATTCATCGGTCGGTTAATTTTAATACCTAGTAATAACGTGAATAATTTTAAAAGGTATTTACTTTACCTATGACATTGCTGTTTTGTATAGAAAATTTGAAAAATTTATTTACAAAAAAAACTAAGTAATTTATCAAATGTTTTTGAAAAAATATTTGCCTAAATTATTAACATAGTGTAGTCATTTTATGCCCAGTTTGTTGAAGTCAGAAGTCTACTGCACGACAATCGATTAACTATTTAAAAGCGTTTTACTGTTTCTTCATAATTGAAATTGTTATCAAGCAAAGTTATCTAAACTTCGAAGAAAGTGGAAGTATGTTGAGGCAAAGAGTAGAGAATATAGTGGATGAGGAAGGGTCTGTAGCTTTAGCTAACTTCTCTGTCGGAAACTGTGCCTTAGTTCGTTAAGTACCCATTTACTAAACTTCTGTATTTTGCTGATTTGCCGTAAATGATCGTATATTGTTTTAACATTTACATCAAAAGCCGACATTAGCTTCGCTGGAGTTTTAGACGGATCTGCTTGCACTATCGCCTTCAGTCCATCATTATCAACCTTATTCCCACGAGGTTCATTTGTGAGTGGCCATTTAAAAAAAAACGACACTTTCATAGGTGAACACCTTATGCGTATATCTATTTATCTTTAGCGTTAACGTAATTTATAATCCTTGTGCACGTTATTCCTTCCAACGAAACTTGATGTTCAGTCTGTCTTGTGTTGTCTTTGTTTACTTAAGCGTACGTTAAAATCACATTTTCCCTAAAAACCAAGACTTCTTTATTATCAAGAAGCAAAAACTAGATTGGTAGAGTTTTCAAAGGCTAGACATTGGCAGAATTACTGTTACCTAATCTCAGTATCAAAGGCTACATAAAGTTTCAAATTGAGCATCCAAGTCATGAGTCAGTAAACTCGATGCGTGTACCTAACAAAAACTTATTAATTAACTTTTTAATTACACTTATCATTATTAAGCGTTTATCAAGCATATAGAAACATTCAAAGCGTTGTCTTAGTAACAAAATAGAAAATTACTAATTGGCGCCTGAAATAAAGCGAGCAATGATATGAAATCTTATCCGAGACCCCAACGTACGTCGCAGACTTCAAGCTGTCGTTTCTTTGTGTCGAATGACCCCGCCTTATCGGCCTGGAGTATCGACAATTTCAACAAGGTGAACGTATTTTGTGAAAGAATCAAATAATACTACAAACAATAAGACGCAATATCTTATTGGAATTAACTGTAAGTAAAGACTTTAGAAATGAGTCGGTCGGTGACTCGAACTTTAGGCCTAGTCAGTTTGAATAGCCTATCATGTAAAGGATGTCATGGGGGTCATGGTTGAATAGTGGCAAAAATTTCTCATTACACTCCTAGGGGATCAAAATGGCCAAAAACCAAAATATTGGGGGGTGACTCGAACTTTAGGCCTAGTCAGTTTGAATAGCCTATCACGTAGAGGATTTCACGGGGTCATGGTTGAATAGGGGCAAAAAGTTCTCATTACACTCCTAGGGGGTCAAAATGGCTAAAAACCAAAAAAATTAAAAATTAGTCCGCCTCCTTCGGAAGTTCTTACACAGTCTTTACTTCCCGCATCCCACTTGTTTACGTGTAAATATTATGCGTTGTTACTATGTTAAAAGCTAAAATTAAACTTTTTTATAGAATAACAGTGAAAAAAGAGTACACAGTCCACCTGATAGGAAGTGGATGCTGTCACTTCTACATATACTATATCCTATATTAAGAATCAAAATCCAGATGCGTTGTCACCCCTGAGAACTAAGATGGAATGCCTCGTTTCCAGTGAAAATCTCTGTGATGATCTCCGGTTCTTTACACCATACGCAGCACAGCAGCATTCGTTTACAGACACAGACATACAAACAAGCTCACACCCTATGATAAGAATGAATTAAATCAACGATAAGTCACGTGACTCTGAGTGGAAATGATTGGAGATCAGTGAATCTCACTTTTATACGTTTCCCTCAGCAGACAATCTGCTGAATCATTTGATTGCAGAGGATTTTTAATGCTATACCTATGTGGGGGAGTCATGCTGCAGCATTAAACACATCAACAGAATCTAGGGATACCTTATCCCTAAATTATTTACGACTTTATAGTTTCCATGAAAGTTTATATACAGATTGAAACCTCTTTGAGGCCCTACACACTAGCCAAAACGGGATATCAAGGATGTGGTCACGTTATCACAGTACTGGAGATGTGGCTGAACGGCACACGTGTAGATATCGACAGGATCGATTTCTCCAAATGACCGTCAGAAGACAACCCAATATCGCAGCGATGCAAGTACTGCAAATGCTCCAGGAGGACCACCAGCTGCAGCTGTAAACGACCAAACCGTGCGAAGGAGGTTGCGTGAAGTTGGTCTTCGTGCTCTAAGACCGCTACGTGTTCCAGCATTGCGACGTGGTAATCGCGGCTTTCGTGGCCACGGGAGCATTTACCATGGAGTGACGAACAATGGTCTTTGTTCACCGATGAGTCCCGGTTTGAGTTTCATCCGGATTCATGAAGAACACGTGTTTGGAGAACTCCAGGGAGAGATAGCCGTCTACGGCACCCTAAGGAGGTCCACTCATACCAAGGTGGGACAATCATGGTGTGGGCAGGAATTCTCTGTGCCGTCCGCAACCCAGCTCGTTTGGATCCAAGGCAGCATGACTGCACAAAAATACCATGAGGACGTAGTAGAGCCTGTTCTTGTCCAACACAGAATACAAATGGGCCAGGAATTTCTACTCATGCACAATAATGCTACTTCCCATACGGCATGACTGGTGTCGGCCCCTCTCAGACACCACAATATACAAGTTTTGGATTGGCCTGCACAATCATCAGACTTAAATCCTATCTAGCATGCCAGGAACATGTTTCAACCAGAAGCTTTGAGAGATTTCCCAACAGATTTGACGAAGGAACAACAACTTTACGAACACTTGCGAAGAACATGGGACGTCATATCGCAGCAGACATTGACAATTTAATTTTAAGTATGAACAATCGATGTCAATGTGTAATTAATGTAAGAGGTGGCAACACTGATTATTATTAATAATTAGATTTCATAAGATTTTTTCAAATTTAATTAAAATTAATAGTTTTATACAAAGAAATGAAGTTTTTTTGTTATAATAATTTTCTACGGCGATTAAAAAAATTTACATTTTTATTTAAAACAAAAAAATTACGAAAAGAAAAGACCTTAAAATAACCTATCATTCTTCCATTTACTATATCAGAAAATTCTTCATAGATTGTTAGATATTTGATGAAATATAAAATATCCCTAGATTCTGTTGATGTGGTTATGTTTTTTTGGTTGGTTATGTTTGTTAGGAAAGAATCACGCTATCAAGGAATACCCGTGAAAAATAGCAACTGAATGCTGCTGTGTTTTGTATGGTTAGTGTTGAAAACCGAAGACCCTTTTTACTGGTAACAAGACAAGACATAGATCTTAGTCTTCAGGGGTGACAACGCGTCTGCGTTAATTTATAATCAATGACAGATGTAGATGTTTATGACTATGTTCTCATTGGTCACCCTAATTCTATAAAAAAAAGAAAAACTTATTATTGGCAGTAGTGCATGCATTAGTATAAGTCATAAGAAAACAAAAATACAATATAACTCACGGAAACTTCGTCGCCCTCCAAAAGTTCTTCTATAACGACGGTCTGACCGGCGGAGCCGTACTTCGCGTCAGTTAAGATCTCGTCCACAGCTTGACAAGCTTCTTCCTTGTTCGAGGCTACTATCACGCCTTTGCCGGCAGCCAGACCTGAGGCCTTAACAACTAACGCCGGAAAGGGAGCGCTGAAAGAATTACTTACTTAATGATTTCTTATATTTACGCGAACCCTACACTTTTAAATAAAACTAATTTTATGGATTTTATCGCGTATATTAATTTATTTTATATTTCCGACGTTTCGAGCACATTACAGCACCCATAGTCACGGGGGGACTGAGGTGTATGACGTCCCAATGTCATAGTTAACCACAGCTACCTCCAGATTAAAAATTATTAATTTTTGAATAAATTTTGCATAGATCGGAACAAACCAGATATACAAATGTATATCTGGTGTGCCACTTATCTATAAAAGTTCCGGAGTAAAAATCCCAAAGCTAGAGACACTATTCAATGTTTAACTTTAGAAGGAAAAAGTGAGATTTAAAGCCAACACTCCATGTGATAAGACGGAGATTGTACTTTATGCATGTAGAAAAATGTGGAAACTTTGATAGCGTGATTTAGGCTTAGGTTGTTGTCTATTCTGTTTTACACTATTGTAGTGTGATGAAAACGCCACCGCAGTAATTAGCACAAGTTTTTGTTTTCTTTCACAGCACCGGAACCTACCTTCGATCTAACTGCTCTAGCTGTCACATCATATCGGTTAAAATGGCAACCTGTACTTTTTTACTCTAAAGTTTACATATAGAAACAAGAAACCAAGCATACCTTTTAATAAACTCCTTAGCAGCACTAGCATCAGTGAAGGACTGGTATCTTGCAGTTGGAATCTGGTACTTCATCATGAATTTCTTGGACCAACTCTTGTTTGCTTCTATTTCTGCACCAGCTTTTGTGGGGCCAAAGCATTGGATACCCATTGAAGAGAGGGCGTCTACAATGCCATTGGCCAATGGATCTTCTGGGCCAATGACAACCAGGTCAATTGAATTGTCTTTGCACCATTTTCCAACAGCCTGGGAAAATAACAATAGATTAAGAATGTGGTGGCAAAAGAGGTCTCAACAGCAAGCAAACAAGGAAATTGGCAGAAATCTACATTTTTTTTTAAAATAAAACAAACAGTCCTGCAAACTAGTCGGCCCATATTTACTGTTATTTTTTGGTGGGATTTCTTAACTTGTTGTTCAGATATTACAAAATAAAATAATTTACTAACAACATGCCTAATGTGTTGTAAAACAATAATACAAGTATTAAGATCAACATGTTATAATTGCATCAAAATCCATTGCATAGTTTTAAGATGATGCAATGCATAACATTAGATCAAATTTACAAAAATGGACAGGGCTGATTTTTATTATATGTTTTTAATCTAATTGTAGTTGATTAAAAGTACCCTCAATTATGATGAACTATCAGTCGGAAAGAGTTTGTGAGTGTCAAATTTAGAGCATTTTCAATACTGCAAAACAAATAAATAATCGTCTGAAAATTCAGTGCTCCGAAATATAACTGTAGCTTCCGAAATGGAGAGAATCAAAGAGAGCTGTAATCGTTTACCTAAATATTGCATAAGGCCTGTATTGACATTTTGCAAAACAATTTTTGTCTTGTTTTATTTATTTTTTTTATTTATTTATTGGCCATTTCGTTACATTACATAACAGTGGTACGTCAAAATTACAATTCAAATGATTTAAGATTACGCTAAATTATTAAAATCACAAATTAATATACATCTACATTTACATTTACATTATTTTACATGTCACGCAAGTCAGAAAATGTACATTTCATATATTCTTCTATATTATAGAAAGCGTGATTCAAAAAGAACGTTTTTGTCACTTGTCGAAACGCTTTTAATGGAAGTCTTGTTATTTCTAAAGGCAATTTATTGTACATTTTGATTTTGAATGGAAAACCTTGCTTGTACGCTTTGACTAATCTGGTTCTTGGAACAACTAATCTTTCGCGATTTCTTGAATTGTAGTTGTGTACGTGCATCTTCATTGATAGTTCACTTTTTTGCTGGTGCACTTCTAGAAGCGAACTGTAAATATACAACGACACGACAGTCATGATTTTCGCTTTTTGGAAATAGGCTCTTGCTGATGTCAATCTTTACAATCCATATATAATTCTAATCGACCTTTTTTGACAAATCAGTACTCTTTCAATTTGTGAAGCATTACCCCATATCGTAATCGCGTAGCTAATAATTAAGTGACAATATGCAAAATAGACGGATATTAGAGTTTTCCTGTGAATAATGGGCTTAAGCTTAAATAAGGCGTAATTTGCACTGGATAACTTTTCACAAACATTATCTATATGGGTTTCATAACTTAGTGGAATTGAGAGTACACCCTAAATATGTGACTTCACTATTTATGACTTAATTTGTTTTTTTGCTTGCATAATTAATTATGGTACTTTTTTCTGCATTCAAAATTATTCCGTTTGCTTCAAACCATTTTCTAAGTATACTTAAAATTTCATCTGTCTTCTTGGCTACTTGAAATGCGTTTTTATCTTTAATACCAACTTGTGTATCATCCGCAAATAGTGTAACCATCGCCCAATCAGGTAAATTTTTTGCAAGGTCATTCACGTATACTAAAAACAGCAATGGTCCCAGGATGGAGCCCTGCGGTACACCAATGTAACTATGTTGTGGATCCGACTTAGTATTATTTAGATTTACCATTTGAATTCGTTTGTTAAGATAAGACTGCATTATACTCAACTCTTTTCCTTCAAATCCGTAAAATTTCAGTTTATGAATTTGTTTTGTCTAGCACGCTGCATCCTTAGAAATGTAATTAATTCTGCTACAAATCACATTTGTTATGTAAATCACATTCATATAATTTCTAATTTTTTGATATTTATTAATTTATAACAATAAAAAAAATTGAAAACCTCAACTGTGGGATGTATATATACTGTGGTACGAAACTAAGCGATATATTGAAAATTATTATTCTTTTTTTTTCGGCATTATCTCATCAAGATCTATGTGAATCCACCTTCAAATCATGGCTCAGTAAGAACGATAAACGTCAATATGCCCTACACTGTACATACTACATGAATGGTGTCATCAATCAACTTAATTCTTATGACCTCATTTTTAATGGCATTATTTTGAGTGACCTTTTCAACGGTATTTTAATTTATCACAATAGTGTGAAATTCTGCTTTAATTTTTACATTATACAAATCAGATTAATGAAAACTCTTTTTTTATCGAATGGAAAAAGCAACAGACTTTTGAAAGAAAGAAAACGGCTAACTAATCTTGAGTTAAAAACAACAAGAATTTTGTTCTTATTTTATGATTTGGTCTATGCTTGTACTTAATGTGAGGTTGGGGTTTTAAAATTTTTAATATTTTAATTTCTACACAGCAATAAAAATTAAAAAATAAGATTATATATTGCATTATTTTTATTATTGCAGATGTTTAGTTGATCATGTTTGGCTTAATAAAAAACCGGCTTAGTCTAAAATACTGTGTCCTAAAATCAGAGGAGACCAGAATTTCATTAAAAAAATACGTCACAGTTTTGAGAAAGGCTACTGCATACAGGATCCATTTCAAAAAATGTATCAAAATGTTTCAAATTAACATAAAATTATAAAATTTAGAAAAATATATAAAAATATGAAGCAATTTAGAGGCCTTTTCCCATTTCATTCCAATAGTAAGGGGGTAGTTACTCAAAACTCCTTGGATTGATTGCCCACTGCTTTTGCTCAGCCTAACTACTAAATTCCCAGTAAACAGGCCTTCGTCAAACATGGGCTCTTTCCATATGAGGCTGGCAGGATTTCTCATAATAACCACATTTGGTAGGCAACTGGCGATCAAGGTACTAATAGACTTCTTACACCTTTGTAAATGCTCTCCTTAGCTGATCTAAGTTTGTTACATCTGGTAAAAAATGAATGCTTATATGGAGATACTACATACTACAGTGTACTCTATATCTTGCGACATTAATTGAATATAATAGTGATAACTTACGCAAATCGAAGTTGATGCTGAATCACATCATATCTCAGAATTTGAGGAAGAGGAGATCACTTAAAAAATATATTTTTAAACACTTTAAGCTTACCTGAAAGTCTTTGATGTTAATATCAACGCTTTCAACCTTGTCCACCGAAGAAATACCGACGCTGCCGGGTGCACAGTAAATTTGCTTCACATTAGGAGATTCCGCTAATTTCCAGCACAGAGCGTGCTCCCGGCCTCCACTTCCTATCATGAGCACTTTTGCTTCAGGCATTTTTCTTGTTTTTTTTATTTAATTTAAAATATTGACAAAAATATTGCGAGCGAGTGTTGGAAAATTCCCAATAATTTCTCACTAACGTAAAATTTGCAATACGTGTTAAAAATTATTTAATACTTTATGGAAGATAAAGTATTATTTTATATTTAGGCTAAAAAGTTTATTTCAACTTGTTGTCGCCACTTTTTAGTTTTGTCCATGTGTCACACAATATTCAACTCGCTCAGCTTCGGACCAATTTCAAACTGACAGGCATACTGACAGGCATAGCTGACACCTGACAGAGCGAGATTATTTTATAACTGGCTTTACGGCTCTGGGTTCTAGCCTTTCTGAGCCTAAAGTTACCATGTTACCAAGTTATCTTTAAAAATTAGAAATGTCACGAACAATACATTCATCAAAAATTCACTTTCACACTGATTCACAAGGAGTTTGTTTACATTTGGACTATTAATTAATATCACGTGATACTGTTTTCATTTTTATATATCTTGAACACCAGAAATAAAAGAATATTATGGTCGGAAGAATTTTTCATCACCTAAGAGACTTTGAAGATTATCAGGAACTTTATTATTGTTAATATCTTGAATAGAATTAATGAAGACTAATCTATTTAAACTAAATTGACAAAATTAAAAAACCAGATGTTTTAGGTCTCCTTTCGTGTCGTCACCACAATATTCACAATTTGCATTTTCTTTCATTCCCAAACAATGCAGGTGGGCGGGTACTCTGCTATGCCCAAATCTCATTCGTTTTACAGCCGTAATGAATTTTCTATTATTAATCCTTTTTTATTGTACCAAGGAGTGGCTGGCGGGCTTTTTTGTATTTCATAAGACCAAATTCCATTGGTCTTGCTTATTTCTCCCCAGTACGACTTCCATAAGGATTTCAAGTTCTTGCTTAGCAAGGCATAATAATACAATAATATAAGTAATATACGTAATAACACGGTTCAACCAAAATCATCTGTTGCAGAGTGATCAGAAGAGGCTCTATAAATCATTGGAGCGGCCAATGGAATGGGGAACGGGCCTAGCGCCGAATCAGGCCGACACTGTAGCATTCTGGCGCGGCCTATGGTTAGAGCCCCTTAAACCACAGCGAGAGCCGTTGGACGGAAGTTGTGGAGAGTTAGTGTATAAATATTACGCCCATGGATCCCATCATTATAACGCCGGATGACGTGGCTGAGGCGTTCCGAAGAGCCCCGAACTGGAAAAGTCCGGGACTCGACAAACTGCATCACTACTGGCTGAAGTGGTGTGTCACGCTGTGCTCTCCCGGCGGTTTCAAGAGGCTCTCGACTAGAAGTCGCTCCCGAGCCTCTTCACTACAGGGATCACTCATTTTTTCCTAAAGACCAAAATAGCACAAACCACATGACGCGCTCTCCAAATGGATGTCGGGGCGGTGGTCGTGGAACCAAGGAACCACTCCTCATTGACGCGGTCATTGGCAAGGTAGTTAAACGCAACCGTCGGGACCTCACCGCCGCCTGGATAGACCAAAAAAAAGCAATCGACTGGTGGAACCAAGGAACCACTCCTCATTGACGCGGTCATTGGCAAGGTAGTTAAACGCAACCGTCGGGACCTCACCGCCGCCTGGATAGACCAAAAAAAAGCAATCGACTCCTCGAGCTGTAAAAGGTTGACTTTAGAGTTCAAGACTTCCTCGGGCAGTGGAATACGATTCTTTATCATCTAGGCGAGCGGATGACGGCTGCGGAAAACCACATAAGGATAAGAAGGGGTACCTTCCAGGGCGATTGTTTAAGTTCAATCTGGTTTTGCCTCTCTCTAAACCCTCTCAGTACTAGAGGGTCCGGGAGGGGAATACAGCTTCGGAAAAGAGGTACAAAAGTGACCCACCTTTTCTATATCAAGTTATTCGCTTCCAGTCACTCCCATCTTGTGGAATTGCTAAACATCACTTGTGAATTTAGCAATTCTATTGGAATGGAGCTGGGGACAGATAAGTGTGCGATCCTCCATGTCGAAAGGGGAAGGGTTGCTAACTCTGAGGGCATGGACTTATCTATGCCCATGAGCATAAGGACCCTTTCCGAGGCTGAAATATACCGATACCTGGGTATGTCTCAGAACATCGGTGTAGATGAGGCGGGTATGAAGCAGTCAGTTTGCGATGTGTTTTATGCACGCTTGACAAAAATGCTTAACAGTCTTTTGTCGGGCCTTAATAAGACACACGCATATAACGGTTGAATCATGCGTGTTCTCATGTATACCTTTGGCATACTCAGGTGGACTCAGACCGAACTGAATGCTCTGGATAGAAAAGTCCGCACTGTTATGACGTCCCACAGGATGCATCATCCGAGATCGTCAGTAATGAGGCTGTACTTGCCGCGGAAACATGGTAGGCGCGGCTTTTTAAGCGCTCTCACTGTGCATAATCGCGAAGTGTGCAGCCCTCGTAATTACTTTTATTATTAGTAATTAAAAGTATGAAGTTCTAATGTTTCAAGTATTCGACATTATTAATGTGACAAACTCACATTGGTAATGTCATAAAGATTTTTGTGTAACTGGAATAACAGTCAAAGTGATAGCAAAATAACAAATTTGCCCATATCTAGCTAGCATCCTATTAGTCTGTGGAGGAATCAAGAAACGGATTTTTAAAATAGATTTTATATCAGAAAAACATCTGTTTTCAATTGCATACGAAACAGTGTGAAAAGAAATTGTGCCATTCTACGAACTGTTTTCATAAAACCAACAACCTGGTAAGACATGCAGGAAGTCGATGGATTCAGGTGGCTCAGGACCGTGCTTTGTGGGATTTTTTGGGGAGGCCTATGTTCAACAGTGGACTTGTGAAGGTCTGTAATGATGATGATGATGATGATGACTGTTAGCAATATCAGAGATGACTATAAACCGCAATCAACCAATAAAACGCATAACAAAGGGTTTTACGTGCTTTCCAAGGCAAAGGGATGAAACACTGTCAACTTCCTGCCCCGTACTACTGCTAAGAATTTCTTGACAGAAAATCTATCAAAGACTGATTTTGGCCCGACGCGGAATCACATGATCAACAGTCACGCTTACGATCACTGGATTAGCGAGGCATTCAAAGACGCATGTCAGAAAGAAATAGACACAACATCTCATGTGACAAGAAGAGTGTAATTTGGGTGGATGGAAATTTAAAAAGAATAATTTTTAAATTATTTGAATTTATTTGAAATTATATAATTTGTTGACCAAAGAGTATGTAATTCACTGCATTTAGAAGTGACTTGATGTTTCTCACATTAAGTCAAATTAACATATTGAATGTAAAAATTAAATCACAGTATAATGTTAAATTTTTAAAAGTTAAAGTTGTATTTAAAAAATCATTAATTAAATTAGAAATAAACATTTTCATGATATTGTATATTTGTCGTAACGGAACGTTACAAAAAATGGCGATTATCTTTATTCCTGCTTCTTGTCATTTTGCTGTGATGCTCGTTGTGTAAAAAGTAGTGTTTTGTTGCATTAAAATGGCTGACACCGGTCTACGTATGAATTTTGCAGCTCTTAAAAGGGCAGATCCATATGCCAGAGAAATAATAGATAGTGCTACCCACGTTGCGCTTTATACTTTCGAAGAAAACGAATGGGAGAAAACTAATATTGAAGGGGCATTGTTTGTGTACAGTAGAAATGGTGAACCTTACCACAGTTTGGTGATTATGAACAGATTAAATACGAATAATTTGATTGAGCCAGTTTCGAAGGGTATAGAATTACAGTTAAAAGAACCTTTTTTGCTATATAGGAATGCTAAGTGCCGTATTTACGGCATATGGTTCTACGATAAAGACGAGTGTGTTAGGGTAGCCACGAAGTTGAATTCTATTGTTAAGGATTCAATGAAGCCGAGTGATAATATGGTGCAAAACCCTGTATATAATGCTCATGCTAAGTCTAGTGCCCCAGTTGATATATTTAGCATGCTGAGTAAAGCTCAAGATGATTTTAATTCGAATAAAGGACTAGCAAACAAAACTGATTCGACACCGTCAAGAGCGCCTGATATGACGTCACAAAGTGTCATGGACTTCTTTGCGAAAGCGGGTAGCGGTGCAGCAGCACAAATGCCTGCAGTATCTTCTCTACCGTCACCGGGTCTTTTTGCTCCACGACCCTCAGATTCCCGTGAAGCCCCATTACTCCTACAAAGACTTATGAGTAATCCTGCTCACTCAGTAGAACATATAGAGAAACAACAAAGGTCCGTCACTCCCCAAGAGAATCAGAATCCAAATGGCAATATATCACTAGATTCCACTATGCGGCAGAACAGTGGATTTCCATTAAAATCCACACCAATTGACTCACAGTGCCAGCAAAGGATACCAAATGTGAAAAAGATACAAGTATTAGATTCAGTGGAGGCAAATGGTCCCAATCCATTGGAGAGTGAACTAAATCTTATGCATATTTCATCACCAAAACCAACATCACCATTGGCAACATATTTGAATCAATCGCAGGACATCAGTCATCCGGTAAGCTCATTAAATGGTAGCAAGTTTGAAGAGATGGGAATGTTTCCTTTGATTAATCCTGTGACTGCTCAGCAGAAACCGGCTCTGATGCCACCTACAATGTTCACCGTCACAACTGGTGGTGATGTCCAGCCGTCTCCTGAGCCACTGACTAGGAATCAGCTTCTACAAGCATTCAACTACCTGCTTAAACATGATGCTGACTTTGTAAACAAATTACATGAAGCTTATGTAAAGTCTTTTTCAGAAAAAGCATTTTCAGTATCATAAGATTCATTCTCAAAGTGACTATAATTAGCGATCATCATGTACAGTTGTAACTTGAAGTATAAATCCTCAAAAATGTTGTGTAGACCCCTCTAGTTTTATAGTGACTTGTTTGGAAAAAAATATTTTTAAATAAGTTTTAAACCATTGACCGTGTCATTTAAATATGTATAGAGAATGAATTTTA